CCCCCCCCCCCCCCCCCCCCCGTCAACCCGTCATGAGAGGAGCCTCCCGTTGACAGGAACGAGTGCAACACACACTCTCATTGTGAACGTGCGTCCCTGCCTTTGTTTACCAAGGGCCCATTGAGGTGGGAAAATATCAGTGAAAAGAAGTGATGTCCACATTCTCACATCCCCTCTCACTGGATATGAGGACTCCCTACCAGATGCCCCAGTGCTGCTTCCGAGGCAAAATTATGTCTCTCCATCCTGACAGTGGACAATGCAGATATTTTTTCATGAAAAACCTTGATATTTAAAAAGGCTGCAACTATATATAAACTTGTATTTGTGTCAGTGTACAATCCCTTTGTTGAAACATCTTACACAATTGATTATTCATCCTCCAAATAAAAGCAAGCATACCGTTGAAGAGATTTTGTGAAGTCCTTATTTCATGAACCCATCCTAGCTTGTTTGGGACTTAAAGTAAAGAACACTGAAGCAAAAAACATTGAGGCAACACCCCTCTGGAATTGTTGATATGTCTTTTTAATGTGAAGATGTGTTGTTTGGAACTACTGCAGCCACCTTGTGACCATGAGGGAGAAGCCAAGAGAATTTCAGAGCAGCTGACCTAGAACTCTGACATTGCTGAGCTGCTGAACTAACACTGGAGATCCCTTTCTTCAGACTTATTATCGGGAAAAAGACATTCTGAGTTCAAACTTATTTAATTAGATATTTTGTTATTTACACTTGGAAGTAATTTACCATTGTGGATAGGACCCATGATTTAACCTCTGCCTTGGAGAATGCTATGGCTTGTTAGCACAGGTCTTCATTTTGTCTCATGTAGCAAAGAGAGCCAGAGGCACTGATTTCCTGTGAGTCAGCATTTGATATGTTCAAAAGGAAAGTCAAACTAAATGGATATCAAATCTGCCATGCACAGACCATGCCAAAGGTATCCTGTAGTTTCAACTTCTGTTTCAAGGCAAAAACCATCATGGTTTTAAAGTTGAAATGACTTTTGAGCATATTTAAGATTGACTTGAGCTGGGTGCAGTGGCACATGCCTGTAATCCCAGCAGCTTGGGAGGCTGAGCCAGGAGGATCTCAAAGCCAGCCTCAGCAACAAGCGACTCAGTGAGACCCTGTCTCTAAATAAAATACAAAATAGGGCTGGGGATGTGGCTCAGTGGTCAAGTGCCCCTGAGTTCCTTCCCTGTTACCCTCCCCCCCACTTCTCCCCACCAAAAATATCGACTTGTTTTATTGCACATTTTTTTTCCTTACTGGATTAGCTATCAATTTCTGCATCGTCAATTAAAAGTGAGAGAGATGACTTAACAGAAATGTTAAACACACGAAGTGCACACACTTAATCTTTCCCTTATGTTTTCGAGAGCGTTTTTCTTTTAGGGGAATCTCTGCCTCTCATCAGATCCTCACAGGAGTCTGGGACAGAAAAGGGGTTCCTGTGGACAGTCTGTCTGGGAGGTGCTGTGGGAGGAGAAGCAGCAGCCGCGGCCTTGCTGGAAAGGGACCGTGGGTAATGGAGGTGACATGGTGCAGGGGTGAGAGTATGGTTCTCAGAGCCTCTCTCAGAGCCCCTGTTTTCTAATGCAAAACACTGGCAGCCCAACAGCCCCTCTCCACGTGCTGTATGCACAACCTATTCCACATCTAACGGTTCTGCAGTGTGCGATGCCTTAGTGCAGTCATTTCTAGAATATGACATGAGCTCCACCCCTAACAACAAACCATGAGACCCACCTTCAGGCCTAAAGCTGGCTGCTGAAGGATGGACGTCCTCCCCACCCCCCGCCCCCCTCCTCCCGTGCAAAGGGAGGGAGGAAGCTGGGCAGGGGTGCCCAGGCACCTTGCTCTTCTGATCTGCAAGCTGGGATGACTGCGCCGCCCCCGCCCCATGTGGAGAAGCCTGAGGGGGGCCATCAGAAGACGGAAGTGACCTCCCTGCACCCAGCCCCTACCCCATGCTAGTGACCTTCACCCCTAACCTAGACCTGCATGTCACACGCATCACAGGTGAGCAAAGGGCGAGGCCTCACCAGTGGGTCATCACCACTGCAGGCCCCGGGGAGGCTGTTCCCATCCTGCCTGGCAGGAGGAGGAGGTTGGGAGGGAGGGGGCGGGAGAGCGCGCTGGGTCTTCCTGGGTTCAGGTTGGTCTCACCGTTGTCATTGTGTCGAAGCAGCCATGTTGCCTTCCGGAAAGCTCTAAGAGGGTGGGGAGGGATAAAGTACAATTTGGGGACACCATCTGACTCATTTGGTTTTCGCCAGCCCACATCAGGTCCCACAGTGACTCTACCGAGTCCCTTTCCTTGCTTTGCTTTTCTTTGTAGCACACTGTCCCCAGGGACAGGGTCCGTGTTCTTCTGAACTGCTGCTGCCCTCCTTCTAGAAGGCAGGTACTCAGGCAGGGGCTAGATCCTGTTCACAGAGCCCAGCACCATGCCTGGTCCTCTGCAGGCGCATGGCCATCTTGCTGGATGAACGAAGGGTTAACTGTTTAAAGAGAAGTATTTGAATCGATGCGACAGATTCAAAGGCTAAGCTTTTGCTAGATTTCCACCTACGCTTTATCACATATGGACGGGCGTTTGGGTCCAGGGTTCTCATCCGTGGTCTGCCCTTCCACCTCCAGCCCTTGCTGCTGTGGTAGAATGACACGTTCCCACCGCCTCCCATCCAGGTGTGGCAACATGACCTGCTCTGGTCTGAGCACAGAGACACTCTGAGCTAGTATGCAGCTCATCACGCTCCCTTGGTCCTTCCTCTGTGGTCTGGGAGTGGCGTTGAGGTGGAGCTTCTGCCAGCCTGGGTCTCTGCGTGGGTGGGAACTGAGCTTGGCGGATTCCACGGCTGAGGTCCCAGGTTGTCATTGCAGCACGGCTTTGCTGATCCTCATCGACCTGGGGCCACCTCCAGATTTTTCTGCCCTGTCTGTTCACATCTCTGACCCCAAACGCAAGGGACCAAGGAAGGGAAGACATTGCTTGTGGGTGTCAGGCAGGAGCAGGGTGTTATTCCCAAGCTATTTTATTTCAACCTGTCCAGAGCCCCACGAGATGGGCAGGGAGTCCCGGCTACCACGAGGGCTGAGGAAACTGAGGCTCAGCAAAGGATGAGCGCTTGCTGCAGGGCCCTCGGCCTCGTTCCGAGATCTCTGTCACCACAGCAACCACCTCGCGCTGAGATGCTGCTAAGGTCATCCTGGGAGAGGTGCTTTGGATCTTAAAAAAAATAATAACCTTTACTAATGACCTGGTAATTGTTTTTATAGCTTCCCAATGAAGTGTGAAGTGTTCTAAGAGACAACACAAGACAATTTCCTTTGATGGTGAAGTTTTCCAAAGAATGATTACTTCTCTCTCCTGGCTTCCCGTGCCCTGGCTTTGGTGTGATATTGAACTGAGCCACAGGCTGGGAACCTTGCACAAGCTGTCAGGTCAGGGGGAATGTTGATTTTTCCTCGTCTTTATTTTAAAGCTTAATCCTGTATTTTTTTTTTAATGGCCACATAATAACATATGAACAAAAAAATAAATAGTCGGCATCTATCACGCGCTTATTCTACCCACTGCCAGCCTCGGACTCAAAACCATCCCCCTTTTTATCAAGGGCCCCGTGCAGGGTGAGGCCTCCATAAATATCTGTGTAATGAATGAATTATCCACAATAAACATTTGTTGGATCTGCTGCTTTGAGCTCTGCTCAAATGCAATGAAATGCTTTCTATGTGGAAACTTACTGAGAGGGGGGAAGAAAGGTTAGTGTTCAGACAACTTGGTCGTTTAATTCACATTGAAAAAAGCCATTCTAAATCCCAAGAAGGCGAGAAAATTAATTCTAATTGAAAACATTAATGATGATGCTAGCTAATGCATTAGAGTTAGGTCAAACTTATGGCATAGTGCAGTTGCTTCTATTTGCTTTGGTACAAATAATTGGACTCAATCTGTCCAGAGCTTTGTGTGCCTTGAAGGATAATGCCTGATATTAAGACATTAAAAGTTGACTTACCAAGCCCTTCCCCAAAGCCACCTTATTGGATTCTTGCCTTTCCACATTTCCCCTGCACATTTGGCAGGCCAGATGTGTTTATTATGAACTGCAGCGAAGGAATGAGAAAATCTCTGGGACCTGCCAATCAAGGGCAGAGGGGACTTGAACCTGGGACGCCAGCTCCCAGCCTGGATATTGGCTTCATACCAGATGTCTTCCTTCCCTGTGGCTCTGGAAGGTTCTGATGGGGTTAAGCAGGTGAGCTGTTAATAGCATATAGTTAATCCCAGATTTATTCAATGATCATTGCTTGTGGCCAGGTCAAATTTTCTCTGAAGCAAGAGATAACGTACCTGCAATAGTTAATTTTTAAAAATATTTATTTATTTATTTTTTTAGTTGTAGTTGGACACAATACCTTTATTTTATTTATTTATTTTTATGTGGTGCTGAGGATCGAATCCAGGGCCTTGCACGTACTAGACGAGTGCTCTACTGCTGAGCCACAACCCCAGTCCATGCAATAGTTAATTTTATATGCCAACTTGGTGAGATTGTGGTGCCACTCTGTTTGGTCAAACACCAGTCTAGATGTTGCTGTGCAAGTGTTTATTCGATGTAGTTAACATTTAAACCAGTAGACTTCAAGAAAAGCAGATTACCCTCTAGAAACTCATGTGGGCCTTGTCCAATCAGTGGAAGGCCTTAGAAAAGAAACTGAAGTCCTTCAAAGATGAAGGATATCTGCCTCAAGACTGCCTTTGGACCCAAGACTATAACACCAACTACCTCCTGGCAGCATTTCCAGCCTGCTGCCCAGCCCTGTGTATTTTATTTTGGACTTGTCAGCCCCCATAATTGTGGAAACTAATTCCTTAAAATTTCCCTCTCCCTCTCCCCCCACCTTTGTGTATCTCTATCATTCACAGTAGCATATACGCACACATCACATTGGTTTTGTTTCTCTGGAGAATCTGACTCATAAAGTACCTTGTGCCTTCTTTTCTGGTAGATGGTGATGAAGAAGGTGCGCCCACGTCTGTGTGCCCGCTCTCTGCCAGGTGCCGTTCCCGAGTGACCGCACACAGTTCTCATACTCTAGGCGTTATTTCCTCATCACACAGGAAGAAATCAAAGTGAGTTGATTCTCAAAGTCAGAAAGCTGTAAAAGACAGAGAAGGTAGTCAGGTCTCTAGTCCTAAGTTCTCGAAGAAATATTTCCAGGACTCATCTGGCCACCCATCTTCTAAGCAGCTAAGAGCCCATCACGGCAAAAATTATGCCACTGTGTTTTGCAGACAAGACATCTCATTTGGGAGGAAACAAAGTCTACTGGTAAAATAATATCTGGGTAGGCATAGGACTGTGATCTAAAAAAAAAGGAGGAAACCTTGCTGACTAGCTACTTCTTTTCCAAATACATTCCACAATGACTCCAGCATCTGTCACCTGGAAACCTCCAAACCATGTCTCATTCATGTGAGACCATCAGTTTGGCTTGGGGTTTGGAGGTGCTGGGCACCCGGTGGTGAGTGGAGAGAGATGATAAATGAGCCCCAAGCCTTTGCTTTCTCTGCAGGCAGCCCTCTCAGGGGCTGAGGTTCCCAGAGATAGCGGAGGGTTGCTGGTCCCCTTGACTCTACCTGTCCCGTGTGCACAGATACGGGGAATCTCAGGGAAATCAGCTTTCCATCTTTCTCTGGGAAACTTGCTTTGGAAATTAGAAAGAAGAAGAAGAAAGGCGGTGCCTCCTTCACATGCTCTTATTTTTAGCTCCTTTCTCCTTTGCAGAATGGCTAACGCCAACTCACACTATTTCTGAAAAGAGTTGCTGGGGACAAAGTGGTGATGTGGGCAGGCCTCGAGCCGGCTCTCTCGGGGAGATGCAAGATAAAGCCATCTCTGCAGCCGCCTTTGAGGGAGAGCTGGAGATTTCCTCAATTAGCTTAATCCTCTATCCCTGACACGCACGGTACAGGGACGCCAGTGTCATAATTATCCCCCGTCCCCGCTAATCTCCATCTACAGGGCACCGCGACAGACGCTCTTCCTCCTGCCCGCGCCACCTGACTCCTGGAACCCTGTGTCACCAGGAGGTGGGTTGCGGGTGACAGATTGCTGAATCTGGACTCCTCACGTAGAGGACGCGGCTTGCAGGTTGTGCCGGCTGCTCTTGCCTCCCTGTGGGGCTGAGGCAGGCCTGGCTTCAGGCAGGCCCAGAAAATTCTGGAAGGCTGCCCTGTGACTCAGGCAATGCTGTGCAGAGAAGGCCAGTCCTCCACTGCTGGCAGAGCCCGGTGTAGGTGGCTCACCTCGTTTAGGATCTAAATCTGGAAGCTTGCCCAAGGAAGGCCTTTCCCCTCCAAAGTAGAGGTCCAGTGGGGTCCAGCAACCCCCAACCCTGCCACGGCAAGCACCGGGCCATCATCTGGCGGCAAGGAGAATATGACCTGGTCCCGCCCTCCCAGCTAGCACAACAGGGGACCCTCAGCTGCTGCCACTTACCCTGTGCATGGGAGGGACATAATAGATGTGGTGTGTCAACGGGACAACCATGTGCTACCACTAGCAAGAATGCTGAGGTAAATACTGTGTCCCCAGTTTTTTGCTTTTTTAGGTGAGGTTTCAATATTTTGCAGATGACAGATATCAGGAGTTGGCAAACTGGCAATGCACCGATTGGGCCCACTGTGTTTGTGGATAAAGTTTTACTGACCACAACCACGATGCACTCAGTTCTGTGATACCTGCGGCCTCTCTTGAGCTGCCAGGCAGGGTTGAGAAGTTCAGGCTTGCAAAGCCCACAGTGCTCCCATCTGTCCCTTTGCGGAAATTGCTGACCTCTAAGGGAGGTTAGGAGACCATGAGTGGTGGACCCAAGACTGATATAAGGTTCACATCTGCTGAGAGTCCAGAGTTACACTGGGTCACACCTGCTCTAAATGAAGGATAAATCAATTCATTAAATGATGGCAGTCAATGGAAACATATTCGTCACATGCGTTTTTCATGCATCCGAAGCATTTCTTTGCAACCCTGGTGCAGGACTCACAGAGGGCTCTGCAGTGCCCAGCACTGAGCACTGTAGGCGACTGGCCGGGGGCCCTGGATTAGTCCACTGCAGGCTCATGGTAGAGTGGGGTGGAGCCAGAGGCACCTCTGACGAGGGCTGGTCTGTTTCCACGCTTGTGTTCCCTGTTACCTACACGCGCTCCTTGTCCTCCCGTGCCTGCCCCCCACCCCCAAACACAGCAAGGAGTGCGTGGGCTCTTGGAGGCTCCTGGGGGCAGTGTCGTGTGGCTTGGGCTGTCCTCGGGGGAGCACTGCTGCCCACCCTCCAGCAGCAGCACAGCCCCCCCACCCTGCACCACGTTCCCCGAGTGTCGCTCTGGGCCAACTGAATCCTGGTGTGGGGAGCCTGGAGGGCGGGTCTCGGTGGCCTTTTCTAAGGAACATGCAGTCTAGTGAGAGAAAAGGGGGTCAGAAAGTCTCAAAGCAGGGATAAGATAGGATAAATCTGCCAAGGCCTGAAAATCACTCACTAGGTCTGGAGTGGGGAGCTGGGGCCTGGGGGGCTCTGCGGAAGCCAGGGAAGCAGAGGAGGGGAAAGACCCCCAGACCTCACATCACAGCTCTGGAGTTCGGGGCCTTCCTGGGGACTGTAGAGAGTCCTGAGGGCTCAAGGCAGGGCCTTGCTCACGTCTCGGGGCCACCACCAGCTGCCGGGCCCCCTCTTCCCTCCCCCACTTCTGCCCCACTCCGGTAAGCGTGCTCTTTCTCCAGTCTACACCCGAGCTCTGTCTACACCCACCGCGACTACGAGGCTGCCTCTTGGCCTCACCTCGGCCTTGGTGCTTACGGCCCCATCTTCAGTGGAAGAGTCCTGGGCGGGCCTAGAAGGGGGTCAGGCTGGGGGAATCAGTGAGGTAGGGTCCTGGTCTGGAATTATCCGAGAAGGGGGCAGGTGGGAGGCGGGGTGTGGATGGGCTTTGGTGGGAACAGCCACTTAGTCCACAGGGGAGGGGACAGCTGAAAGGGAGCCAGAGCTGGGCCCTCCACACTGGGGTCCCAGGAAGGGAGTCCAAGGCAGTGGTGATGGCTGTTGTCTGACGATTGGGCAGGGGAGACCCAGGGGGGCCAGCTGTGAGGCTGCCGCTGTGCTCCACGGGGTACCCGGATCTCCAGGGGGTCTGAAACAGGTGGAGGCACAGATGGACGGGAAGACCATTCAGGAAGGAAACGGACAGGGGTGTCCCTCCTGGTCGGTGCTGTCGTCTTGTGCCTGTCACGTGAGCAGGGTCCACAGGGGAGCTGAAGAGGCCACTGTGTGCATGCCCAGGGCCACCTCTGAGCACAGAGGGTGACCGAGTGGGAGATGCAGGGTTCTCAAAAAACCATGTGCCTCTCAGAGGAAGTGTGACCTGAAGGTGAGGTGGGCAGTCCCAAGGTGGGAGAGGTGGGGGCAGGAGGTGGCAGAAGGGACAGTCCAAACGGAATCATGGGAGTGAAGGAGCCTGCAAGGGTTAAAGAACCCAGCCAGAGTGATGGCAGGAGGTGGCAAATGGTACAAGGCAGGACCCCAACCGTCTGTGGCAGTGGCATATGACTGCATGTGCACGCACGTCTGTGCCTGTGGGGGCCAGCACGCGTGTCAGGAAGGGGAGGGCACATAGGTGACACCTCTTTGAGGGACGCAGATCAAAACAGCTGCCCATATTCCCAGCAAGTCAGGCTCTGGCAACCCCGATGTTCTGTCCTCTTTGCTGCAGGGACAGGTAGGAGCACAGGAGATTCAGCCTCAGGAAATGAAGATTCGAACATGACAGCACTCACACACACTCTCACACACACACACTCACACACACACAGCAAAATGAAAGGCAGCTGGACACAGCTCTTTATCCCACACAGAAGGAGAGGAAACTTGACATTTGACACGACCATGTATCTGAAACGCAGGCAGAAGTGACATGACTTAGGTGCCCATCACGCTGCTCTTAAGGAGGTCTTCAGACACGTGGGCGTCCAGGGCCGAAGTAGCCCTGAGGACTCCTGGGTCAGTCATCCTCCACTGGAACAGCCTTGGCACAGAACAGGGCCCACTTCCAAGAAGAGATTAGAGTCCCCATCAGCATGGCTTGATTTTTATGGTGCTTAAAATCACACTAGCGAAACACTGGAATTGTAGCCGGTGTGGAACTGGTTCCAGGACCCGTCTGCCAACATTCATCATCCTCACGAGCTCAGATGCCCTAAAACATTGCCCTTGAGGTTCTTCCGGACACACTGGCTTTGCCAATTTTGCAATGGTCTTGGAGTAAGAAAGAATCCACCAAAGCTCTGGAAGCCCTTTAGAAAAGACCACGCCCTCCCCTCGGGGCACACTGGTAACTGCTCTGGAGTGTTTTATTCAGTGCCAATGTCCACCTCGCGTCCTCCTTACCTGAACCCTTGTTTTCTCTTTCCCTGTTCCCACAATTCCACAGCATCTGGTGAAATCCGGAGGGCCTCAAATGGCCTAGCCATAAACCCCACTTCCCACCCTGCCCAAAGGTAAGGTCCTCGTTAACCAACAACCTTTCTCATTCAATGAACCAGTGAAGCTTGCCCAGGTGGCTCGTCCCTGAGTGGCCACCTTCAGGTCCCTGCTGGCCTGGAGAAGTATCCAATAAATCAGTGATCTGGTCTGGTGGGATCTGGGGGCGCCCCACAAACCTGCCTCCCTGGGTCCTAGGGCAGCCCTCGCGTGACCTGGGTGGAGCAGGGACTCCCCCTTTAGGCTCTGAGTACATGTGACCAATAAACCACCATCAGCGTCTTGGGCCCAGCCATCCCCCGACTTGGGAGAGAACCCCCTTCAGTGAGGATCTGCAGGGGGCCAGCCACAGAGCCTGTGGAGAGGAAAAGGAACAGGGTTCTGTCCTCAGAGAGCCAGTGTCTAACAGGGAACATAAACAAGAAGCATTTAGAAATTAATGGTGTGAAGTGCTCTGAAGAAAAAAAAAAAAATCTCAGATCACAGGAGTGGGATGGCATGGGCTGGGGTGGAAGCCGGAGGTGGGTATGAGACATGGCTATCTTGGCGGCCCTCTGGGGTGGGGACAGTTATTATGGACGGAGAAAACAGCCAGTGCAAATGCCCTGAGGTGGAAGCTCCCCAGACATGATAGAGCAATGCAAGAGAAATCAGTGTGGCTCCAGTGTAGTGGGGGTGTGTGGTGCTTGAGGGCAGCAGGTGGCTCCCCCAAGTTGGCCCCCAAGGTCAGAGTCCTCCACTACAAGCACTTCAGTGCCTGGCAGGACCACATAGCTCTGTGATTCTAATCAGAATCACACAAAGAGGGCGTGAGAGGCAGGGGAGGTTCGCGGATGGTCTGACTGGAGAACGTTTTTAAAGAAAGGCAGTTTATCCAGAGATCAGAATATGAAGAGGGCAAGACCAGGTTTGGCTAATAGAGATCGTGCTGGGAACTGCTTCAGTGAATAATTAATAGCCACTTGAAACTAGCACCTCCACTAATGGAAATAGCAGGCTTCTAAAAGTTACTTTTAAGTACTAGGAAGGAGTTCAATTTCTTCCCTGCTGGCTGGGCCTCACATCTCCTTGGATTTGCATCCTATCCTCATTACTTTCTAGATATGCAGAGCTTGCACAACGTTATTAACCAGCACAAGCCTCAGTTTTCTCATCTAGAAAATGGAATGATCAGAGCAG